ACCTGGTGGCCAGCTTCGTGGAGATGCCCGAGCCCATGGAGGACCCAGCCACAGTAAGCAGGGCACTGGGGTGGGGGGCTGGCAGGGAAGGGGGACTGAGACGGCTGGGGCTGACTTGGGCTGTGCTGTCCCCAGGGTGAGAGCATCACCTGGGTCATCTTCCTCATCTCCTACTGGGGCGAGCAGATTGGGCAGAAGATCCACAAGATCTCAGACTGGTGAGCCAGCAGCCATGCATTGAGCCATGCAGAGGTTTATTTAGCAAGACCCACTCTGGACCCCCCACGGGGATGGACTGGGCCACCCCGGGGAGCTCTGGCACCCGGTGACATGACAGCATCCATCTCTCCCAGCTTCCACTGCCACATGTACCCCTATCCAGAGAGTGAGGCCAGCCGAGCAGACACCATGAGTAGGCTGCACAGCCAGATCCAGGACCTCAGTGTGGTGAGCTGGCTACCACAGTGGGCAATGGGGGGCTGCACTGGGACCGCCCCAGTCCCTGACCCATATTGGGTGCCCGCAGGTGCTGGAGGAGACAGAGCAGTACCTGGCGCAGGTGCTGGACAAGGTGGTGCTTGCACTGCCCACCTGGCGGGTGCAGGTGCAGAAGATGAAGGCCATCTACCTCATCCTCAACCAGTGCAGCTTCGATGTCACCGAGAAGTGCCTCATCGCTGAGGTCTGGTGCCCCGTGCGGGACCTCACCCAAGTGCAGGATGCCCTGCGCCAGGGATCGGTGGGTTGCTTGGTGTCCCCATGTCCTGGTTCCAGAGGTTGCTTGGTGTCCCTGTGTCCTCGTGCCAGGGTTTGCTCAGTGTCCCCGTGTCCTTGCGCTGGGGCTTGGTGTCTACATGTCAAGGTTCTGGGCGTTGCTTGGTGTCCCTGTGTCCTCACACCAGAGGTTGCTCGGTGTCCCTGTGTCCTCCTGCCGTGATGGGGTGGATGCCGAGCAGGAGGGTGCTGTGGGTCAGGTGCTGGGTGCTTTCCCTGCAGTACAAGAGCGGCTCCAGCGTGGAGTGCTTCGTGCAGCGCATCCCCACCTCGGAGAGCCCCCCGACCCTCATCCGCACCAACAAGTTCACGGCTGGCTTCCAGAGCATCGTGGATGCCTATGGGGTGGCCAGCTACCAGGAGGTGAACCCTGGTAAGGTCCCCAGGCCCTCTGTCACAGCCCAGGGCTGGTGGGGGGTGCCCCATGTGACATGGTCCCTGTGCCCCTGCAGCACCGTACGCCATCATCACCTTCCCCTTCATCTTCGCCATCATGTTTGGGGACGTGGGGCACGGGCTGCTCATGTTCCTCTTTGCTCTCTGGATGGTGCTATATGAGAACAGGCCCAGCCTGAAGCAGGCCAGCAACGAGGTGAGGGGGACATGGTTGGGGCCAGGCTTGGAGGTGTGGGACATGGCTGGGGGCATGGGATGGGCTTGAAGGCATGGAATGGGGTTGGAGGTATAGGATGGGACTGGTGGTGTGGGACAGGGACAGTAGGGGGCAGGGTTAGTGGTGTGGGAGGGGGACAGTGTGGGGCAGGGAAGGTGGTGTGGGACACAAGAGCTGTGTTTGCCCCCACCAGATCTGGCAGACATTCTTCGAGGGGCGCTACCTCATCTTGCTGATGGGGGCCTTCTCCATCTACACCGGCTTCATCTACAACGAGTGCTTCAGCAAAGCCACCGTCATCTTCCCCTCTGCCTGGAGCGTGGCCGCCATGGCCAACCACTCCTCCTGGAGGTGGGACCCCCAGCCCCCCTGTGAACAACCCCCCCAGATCCTCGCCTGCACTGACACCTCTTCACTCTGCCCACAGCTCTGCCTACCTCGCCACCCACCCGTCCCTCACCATGGACCCCAACGTCACTGGTGTTTTCCAAGGGCCATATCCCTTTGGGATTGACCCAGTGAGTGTCCTGTGGAGGAGAGGATGGGACAGAACCCTCAGTGGGGTGGCCAAGAGTCTCACCCACCTTGTTCATGACAGATCTGGAGCTTGGCCACCAACCACCTCAACTTCCTCAACTCCTTCAAGATGAAGATGTCTGTGGTGCTGGGCATCGTGCACATGGGCTTTGGTGTTATGCTGGGGATCTTCAACCATGTGTGAGTCCCCATGGCTGCACCCATGGGCTCTGGCCACCCATGGTCATGCTGAGGGGACTGGTGCTGGACTCACCTGGGTGGGGTGGGCGAGTTGGGGTCCTGTACCTCTACATCTGAGTGAGAGCCCAAGGCTCGTGGGGATGTGCCATGCTGGACTGAGCCTGGCTGATGTCTCCCTGCTCAGGCACTTCCAGCAGTGGCACCGGCTGGTACTGGAGCTCCTGCCCGAGATGATTTTCCTCCTGGCACTCTTTGGCTACCTCGTTTTCCTCATCTTCTACAAGTGGATCAAGTTCAGCGCCGCCGACTCCATGGTGGCCCCCAGCATCCTCATCCACTTCATTGACATGTTCCTCTTCACCACCAACGCCGACAACCGCCCGCTCTACCGGGGGCAGGTAGCACCCCACCGAGATGAGGGGCACCCACCTGGGGACCCTCCTCTTTGCCCAGGCTGGAAGTCCTCTGGGGGATGGTGCAGTGGGGATGGGGTCCCCTGTGAGTCATGAGTGGGGCTGTTCTCAGCTTGGGTACCCAGTGCCGGAGGGGACCTTAAATTGGTGTCCCTGTGCCGCAGGTGCCGGTACAGATGGTGTTGGTGGTGTTGGCACTGGCGTCGGTGCCCGTCCTGCTCCTGGGGACGCCGCTCTACCTGTACTGCCGACGGCACGCACCGAGGACGGGCTGCCCTGGGGTAAAGCTGGGGCCACTGCGGGGGAGCTCAGGTGGGAGGGTGCAGCAGGGTCTCACCACTGGTGCTGTCATCGCGCAGCCGGCTGGAGGGACAGGAGGCCGGCAACTGCGTCAATGCCACCAAGGAGGATGTGGAGAGTGGAGGTCACAGCCCTGATGCCAAGGTGAGAGACTGCCATGGCAGGCTCATGTGGTGGGGTGCAGGAGGCTGTGCCCCACTACTGACGTCTCCTGTCCCCTCCTTCCCTGCAGCACTTGGACTTTGCTGACATCTTCATGCACCAGGCGATCCATACCATTGAGTATTGCCTGGGCTGCATCTCCAACACCGCATCCTACCTGCGGCTCTGGGCGCTCAGCTTGGCCCATGCCCGTGAGTCCCCCCCGGCCGCCTGTGTCCCTCCCGGGCGCCAGGCAGAGCCTCACTCCCTCCGTTTGTCCCCAGAGCTATCAGAGGTCCTGTGGACCATGGTGATGCGCAACGGCTTCGTGCGGCTGAGCTACGTGGGCGGCGTGGTGCTGGTGCCGGTCTTCGCTGCCTTCGCCGTGCTGACCGTGGCCATCTTGCTGGTGATGGAGGGGCTCTCTGCCTTCCTCCATGCCCTGCGCCTGCACTGGTGAGCCTGGCCCAGGGGGTGCAGGTGGGATGGGGGTGACCGATCCCCCCATAACGCTGCTTCTCACCGGCCCTTCTCCTCGGCAGGGTGGAGTTTCAGAATAAGTTTTACGTGGGCGCCGGGTACAAGCTGTGCCCCTTCGCCTTCGCGCCTGACACCTGGGAGTAGCCGTGTGGATGCCGAGGTGCTCGGAGCATTGGCTGCACCCAATCCCCCACTCTGCTGGGAGGTGATGAGGGGCAGGGTCCCCCCCCCGAGACCCTTTGGGGC